TTATCACCAATACATGAAACATAAAAATTATAAGCGCCCAACTTAAAATTTAAAATTTTTATAAAATACTATCAAAGTTTAAAAATTATAAAATACACCCTCAAAAGTTTAAATCACAAAATGCTAAAATTTGGCAAAGAAAAGAGGAAATGTTTGATATTATTACATTAAGATATAATAGGTTAGCATTAATTGATTATAATGTATAAACATTTATCTCTAATGTTGATAATATTTATTTATAAAGTAAAAAAATACAATGAGTTATGTATGAGGAAACTATTAGAAAGTTCAGAGATATCCTTTAAAAGAACTAAGTTATTTTCATTTCAAATGGAGAAGCAAAGCAAATAAACTCAAAATTTAGAATAATTCATGAATCACCTGAATTAACATTGATAAAAAGCATATCGAGCAAAGAAGCACTAACCGAGTTCTTCTTGAAGAACATATTGAACAATTATGTCCTAATTAAAAAATATTCTTCATGAAAAGTACAAGAAAAATTAGTAAGTACTTATAAATTTTCATATTTTATTCTATAAATATTGAAGGAATCATAAACTTAATATAAAATTTTATATAAATAATCTTGCGATAGAAACTAAAATGAAGCCATTGATCAACTACATTGTGAGATATAATAAACTAGATAAGATGAGAAAATTCACTATAATAGACAAAAAATATGCACATGATACTAATTAGTTACCATAGTGTAAGTAAAAAAATTTAAAATTGATATTTTTCTTTTCTCTATATAGTGGCACGACTCTGCAAGTATCCTTATTTGGGGATATGACTACCAACGAACGATCAATTTTTAAGAACACGGACAAAGATAAGCATGTAATAGTACTGTCAGATTTCAAGATCTTTAAATATGAAGGTTACATATTTTACAACTAAAATTCTTATTAAAGACCACTAAATATAAAATTCATCTTATACTTGTCTCAAATTTGTATGAAAGATATGCATGTCATCGTAAATTTTGTTAATAATATATCAACTTATTAAAAAAATAAGAGATAGATAAGCAAACCAAACTGACATCCATATAACACAATAAAGAAAAAATATTACACTTTAAACCTAATATGCAGGGCTCATTCAGAACAAGCTGCTAAAACAAAAGCATCTCCATCAAGGCTCTTTATAAATACAACACAAATTTAAATTATTTAATATTTTTAAAAATAGCTTAATTTTTTTGAGTAAAATCAGATATCTTTAGAAGTGATTTTCATGAATTCTTTTAATTTTTTATATGGTTATGTGGATACTTTTATCATATAAAAGTGTAATAGAATTAGCATTAATCTTTATTTTATGATTTTTTTTCTAAAGTCTATCAAGGATTAGCAACAAAATTTATATTCTCCTTAGTTTCATTCTAGACCACTTTTAATTAATCATCTTGTCTTATTGGCTTTAATTATTCATCTTTCTTTTATAACATTATCTTTTTAAGTGTTTTTCACTTTTACAACATTATACCTTCTTAAGTCAAGCTTGGTTTCATGCTGATCTAAATAACGTGAAAGTTCAAATTAGCTTTAGATTATAGTTATTTATTGTCAATTTAATTATTACATGAAAATTTTAAATTTTGTGTAGCCCATTCAAACAAACATTAAAAAAACAATCACAATAGTAAAGTTTGAAAACATAAGTAAGAAAAACAATCAAAGTGAAACTGAGAAACAAATTTTAGTAAAGAAATAAGTCAAAAATACTTAATCATAATATTTAATCACGTGCATTGCACGTGCATAAATCCTAGTAAATATAAGTAGACAAGTGAAGGGTTTCTCACGTATAGACCCCATATACTAGCACTCTATGGAACTTAGTACTTCGATGGTTTCAGATAGCCCCATTAGTTTCTTTAGCAGTACTACATGTCAAACTTTACCCAAGATTTCTATTTTTTTTTTTAAATCAAATTGCCTGGATATATAATGAGTTCCGAAGCGGGTCTTTGTGCAATTAATTAACCCGTAAATAGATGACATCAGTGACGTCCATCCTCTATATATACTTCGTTTAATTTTATGATTTGTTGGTCGGCTCATGAAATAATCACGTCTCATGATGATGGTTATGTGAGGGGTATACAGCTAGCTGCAGAGTTCATTGGTCCTAACCACCGTAATTAAGAGATATTAAATTAAAAAAAATGAAAGGTACTGACGATGATATGATGTAATATTAAAGAGCACTGTTCTTTTATCGGTGAAAACGAAAGAGAGAATAATAAATCCAAGTCCAATGTAGGGGGTGTTTGGTTGTTGTTGGTAAAGTTGTGTATTTATGACACAACTTGGAAAGTTGTTGTCCACCTCATCAATTTTATTTTTATACTTTTCTTTGTTTGTTTTTGATTCCATTGGAATCATAAAACACTTGTTTGGTTTGCAAAATGAAACTTTAATTGTTTGTTTGGAAAGTATAAAAAGTGGTCCCTACTCAAATGATCATATTGGTTGAAATTATTTTTTATTATTTTTTCCTAACTTCAATGTTAGCTTTCTTCTAAAATCATGTCTTTTTTTCATGAAATCACTTTACAAGCCACATCAGCATATGAAATCACTTTACACTATTTTCACAACTACAAACAAACAATTGAAAGTGATGAAAGCTGACATTGGGACCCACTTTTTTACACTTTACATCCTTTTACATGGTAAAAACATACAACCAAACAGCCCCGTAGTGTCGCTGCATGAAGAAATATAGGTATCTGACGATGATGCTTTAGGTACTGTTTGGCAAAGGGTTAAGAGAGGGGTTAAGGAGACTTAACCCCTTCTTAACCTGCCAAACAGGCAAACACAACAAATCTATATAAGGGTTAAAGTAAGTTAACCCTCCATAATTTGTCAAACATAAAAAATATAGAAGGGTTAAGTTAACCTCTCTAGAGGGGTTAAAATGAGTTAACCCCTCAGAATGAGGGGTTTACTAATACTCCTATTTAGCTGGAATAAGAGTTAACCCTTCTAATTATAAAGAAAATAGTCAAAATCATTGTTATTCCCAAACACTAAAACTGATAATAAGGGCTAAAATAAAACTTATTTAACGGGTTAATAATTTAGTCCTTTTGATTATCAAATGGGCTAAGTACATTAATCCTTTTCTATAACCCCTCTTCATTAACCCTTTGCCAAACGGGGCCTTACGTAATAATAAAATAGTTATGGACTTTAATTTTCCATGTCTTGGAATAAAATAATGCAAATTTGGACGTATTCTGCCGTTTGTACATTTTTGTTGATTTTTTTTTTTGGGTAGTTTTGATATCCAAATTCGCAGGTATATTCTTGGAATTTTTTTTTGTATATATACCTCATAATCATGGGTAGTTGTGCAACTACCTATATATTAAAGTATTACACCCAAGTCTTGATATGCTAACTTGTAATTGCAATATAAAATTATCAACAAAATAACCCAAGTCTTGCTCATCATATCCAATAACACTCATGATTTGTTGATCTAGGGATACTTTTCCCCCTCAAGGTTGATAATTTTGGTAGTAGTTTGTTAAATACTGATATTTGGTATTTCTGTTGCAAACACCAATGATTATATATAAAAAACTATATATTTCTATGTAAATGTAGAATCTATAGGGGCATTGTGTATCCAAGTTTTTTTTTCTTTTTTTGGAATTATGGTTTATTTATGACAAATTTCCACACAGACCGTGTAGTAATAAGAATTAAGAAATTAAAGTACATACCATAGCCTAGCAAAATTTCATAAAAGTGTGTCCGACAATTCATTGAAAATGGGCCAAGTTTGGCTTTAGAATTGGTTCTGATTAAAACTAGATTGATTGTGAACCAACTCCTTCCAAATCCACAACTAAACTAGTTTTAACCCAAAATTGAGCTACAACAAACCGGGTCAATGTTAGCCCAGTTTTTTGCCATTCATAGAAATACTCTATAACTAGACCAGGTTTAAGCCTGACCCGGTTTTAAGAAGCTACCAAACTGGCTCTAATAGATTCAGCGTGTGTTTGGCAATTTTATAGTAATTATAGTAGTATCGAACCAAGGTGGAGGTGATCTAAAGATAACCTAAATCGTTTCTCTTTTTTGAACTAAAAAAACTAGCTAATTAATTTTATACAAGTTTTTGTCAAACACAATTTAAGCCCCTATCTAACTTAGTGCCTTCATTCAAATTAGTGGATGGGTTGCCAAACAGCTGTCAATCTTCATGCTAACATCCAAACATTATTAGTGGTTGAATTGACTAAAAAATATTAAGAAGAACATAAGATCAATGCTTAAATTATAACATCTAATGCGAGCTATTCAGTAAATGCTTAAATTTGACATCTGATTTGTCAGAAATATCCAAAAAATGTCTAAAATTTTACTGGTGATGTGTTTGAAACCTGAACTGATACACGCCAAGATGATAGCATATTCAAAAACATAGCAAAGAACATCCAAAATTTTAAAAATAAAAATAAAAAAAATCTGAAACGCTCCGTGAATAGACTAATTAGGTTTAAATATAAGAAGATCCTTTTTCTTTAATAAACTTAAAAAGTTTCTGAAGCGCGCATATGCTATGTAGAAAATGAATTTTAAATTATAAAACTAAAAGTTAACCTTTTTAATAATGTTCCCCCAAGAATCCCAGTTTGCTTAAAAATGTTTTCTCATAGTTATTAAATTTCCAGTACACGCATGAAAGCTGATCCATCCGTCTCCAACTCTAATTACTTTACCAAAAGCAAACACAAAAACTAGTAATTAGCAATTATTTTTTATTTGTATAATTACAACTACACTTGGACTCGGAGTCCTACCAAGTCCACGTCACCAAAACCTCGTAAAGATCGTGCCTCCTCAAAAATCTATATAGACATCTCTCAGAGGACCCAAAACCCGAATCAAAAGAATTTTTTTCTTCAAAAAAAACCCCCTCCAAATTACTCAAATCCCCAATGGTGACCTTCAGCATAATCCCCATCATCGACTCACTCCTTCGTCCGCCGCTACTTCACGGCCGCCGGCCTCCGCCAACAAACTCTGGCCGTCGACTCCGACACCACCATCCGTTATTGGGCCTCCGAATCCCTTCAAGGCCCAAACCCGCCAGTTCTCCTCATTCATGGCTTCGGGCCGCACGCCACGTGGCAGTGGCGACATCAAGTGAGCATAGATTTTACCGAAGCATCCGGCATGGGAATGAAATATGGGCCCGAAGAGGGCTGGGGAAAGCCTGTCAAAACTGGCAAAAACAGCTGATAAAAACTGTTAGTTTTGACAGACTTTCTGTCCATTACAACTCCTCTTTTCAGCAAGTAAACGGGCCCTATACATTTTGAATTCATAAGAAAATAAAAGATGCTTAGAAAATTTAAACCATTATATTTTGAAATTATTTTTTCAATAAACACATTCTAGATGTGATTGTAACCGTAGTATGACGGGAGGACGAATTTTTATTTGTACTAATCCAAGAGCTCTCCTCTCTGGTGCAATCGCGAGTTTGCACTGCTAAGATACCTCCGTTCTTATAAGATTTGTATTCATTCCAGGTGCGCCCGCTCTCCCGCCACTTCCCTCTGGTGGTCCCGGACCTCCTGTTCTTCGGTGGGTCCACCACAAAGTGGTCCGAGCTTTTCCAGGCCGAGACCCTGGTCCGGTTCATGGACCACCTCCGCATCAAGAACTTTTACGTGGTGGGGACAAGCTACGGAGGGTTCGTCGCCTACCACGTGGCGAGGATGTGCGGCGGTCGGGTGCCCGGCGCGGTGATCGCGAGCTCCGATGTCCTGAAAGGGGAGGAGGATGACATGATGCTGAGGGAGAGGACGGGCGTTGGGAGTGCGGTGGAGCTGATGTTACCGCGGAGCACGGGAACGCTGAGGAAGCTTATCGGGTTTGCTATGTACAAGCCGCCGAGGTTTTTGCCGGAGTTCGCTTTGAAGGATGCTATAGAGGTATGTTGACGTTTTTGCGCTTGGGTCCTTGGAATTTTCTTATTTGCATTACGGTTTACTTATTTGTTTGTTGGCATTTAAGAATCTTAGCAGTTAATGAAAAAACGTGGGGTTCACATGATAGATCCTTCTATTTGTAACCGAACTTTCGATTTTTTTCTTTTTGTGAAAAAAAAATTCTCTAATGTCCCAAAATATGGGACCAACAATGGAACATATGAAAAAATTCTCTAATGACCCAAAATATGGGACCAACAATGGGACATATGAGATGTCCCCCTCCTATTGCATAATGAGTTGTCCATCATTAATGATGACCATCTTATTATACAATAGGAGGGGGGCACCTCACATATCCCCCTGTTGGTCTCATATTTTAGGTCCATGTAACAAAGTTTTTTTGTGAAAAGATTTTGCGGAAAATGGATAAATTTGCCGTCACATTATACATCAGTAAATTTCCTCGACAAAATTATCCTCCCGTGAACATCATGGAGAGAGGGGAAATTGGTTCGCACTTCCAACTTTTTATCCAGCCGCTTCATTGTTTTAGGATTTTGGGAATACATGGATTTGTCATAATTTGAGGACCAAAATTTGAAGCCAAATAATATCTTGGTTATCTTCCGTAGACTTTTCTTTTTCTTTTTCGACTATGCAACCAACTTTGCCTAATTTTATAAAGCTCGATGACTTTTTTACCGGACCTATGGATTTCAATTTATTTATTTATTTATTTATTTATTTTTGAGGAATCCGGAACGATTCTGTTACAAGGATCAATGAGGAATTTCAATTTAGGATTTAATCTTACTCCATACGATTATCCTTTGTTTGAATAAAAGAAGAAGAGTTGGGTTTGTGAAAAAAACTTGATTTTAATTGGTAATAATACAACAGGACTTGTTTAGGTGAAATAAGCATGTGAACCTTTACCAATGTTTCAAGATTGAAATGTCTGATAAATTTAAATGCAAAACTTCATATGTTGAGGGGTGCACGTTTCAATGCCCCTGCAGCAGCAATAATAATCCAATTAAAGATTGTTTTCTAGTCGGTAGGTGGACTGGTGACCATCCAGAATTTGATTCATCGGTCGCATCTGCTGCTCTGCATCAACCTACTTACATAATGCGGGTCCCATTTCCTCAACAGAGGTGTCACCAACATAGTTTTTTAATCAACGCTGCTATTTGGCTCGCTCCCCTGCCAACTCGCGCCCAGCTCGCGCAGTGAGGAACAGGGGGTGGGGCCCGTGAGTTGGGCGCGAGTTGGCAGGGGAGCGAGCCAAATAGTATTTTTGATTTTTAATAGAGTTTTGCTACGGTAACAAAAAATATGGGATGAACTGAGAGGACATGTGAGATGTTTTCCTCCTATTGCATAATGAGCTGTTTATCATTAATGATGATCAGCTCATTATGTAATAGGAGGGGGGACACCTCACATGTCCCCCTGTTGGTCCTATATTTTGGATCTTTAAGGAATTTTTCTTTTTTAATAAAAACACAATGAGTATAACGATATCTGCAATCACTTTGGGTTGAAGGTTCTGCAAAATTAAAGATAGGAGTTAGAACAAAGGATTAGTAGGCTAGTCATGAGCATGACTCTTAAAAGGCTTGTTTAGTACCATGGGTAGAGGGAGGTTATGTTTATACTGTTAAATATTATTTTATTTTTACTCATGTTTGTTATCCTTCTAAAACTTTATTAAGGATAAAGTTTCTTGATAAAGCTATTAATCAAATTAGGAAGTAGGAAAAAAATAGGTGAAAACTTAAGGCTAAGCTCATTTAAGCATGTGGAATTATAAAACACCCCTAAAAAGTTCTAAAACTTACCACAAGCTTCATAAAGCCATTTGACAAGATCCATTATATAAAGTAAAAATTATAAACAACCACCCGAACAACTATAAAATTACAAAATATACCCTTAATAATCTAAACATAGTCAAAATCTCAAATAATTCTGAAAAAATCAAAACTTAAAAAAACACTAAAAATTTCAAAGCATACAAACAGCTCCAACCAAACTTAAAATTTACAAAAAAACTCTAAAAGTTAAAAAAATTGTGAAAAACACCCTAAAATTTTTGAAATAAAAAGCCTTGAATATTTCAAAACGTACAAATAATATACTGAAATTCTAGGAACTTCAATCAGCCTCATATTTTTTGAAAAACACCCTGAATTAATGTTTTACAGATTGCAAATAACACCCTCAAATTTCTAATTCTACAAAAACACCCCAAGAATTTCAATCCTACAAATAGTGCACTGAAAATATATAAACTACAAACAGACCCTTACATATTTTAGAATTTGTAGAAAACACCTTGGGAGTTTTGAAAATTATGAAAAACACCCTCATACTTTGAAAGTTACAAAAAATACATTTGAAAATTCAAAACTATAAATATTATACAGAAAATAGAGGATTACAAACAACCCCTAAAAATTTAGACTTTTATAGAAAATACCCTAGAAAGTTAAAAAAACTGCAACAAACGCCCTCAAAAATTAAAATATTTACAAAAACACACCGAAAATTTCAAAAGATACAAACAGTAAAATGAAAATTTTATAAAGTTAAAAATTTCAAAAAACATGCTAAAAGTTTACAAAATTATAAAAAACACCCTAAATTTTAGAAAAACAATGCAAAAACACTCTAAAAGTTTAGAAAACTAAAAAAACACCCTAAATGTTTAGAAAATTACAAAAAACACTCTAAAATAAAAATCTAAAAAATATATTTTGTTAGTTTTGATCTTTGTAGGTGTTTTCTGTAACTTTTGAATCTTTGAGTGTGTTTTATGTAATTTTAAAACTTCTATATAGGTTGTTTTTGACAAATTCTAAAACTTTCAAAGGGATGGTTGTAATCCTATATTCAATGTATTATTTCTATAGGCCTTTAGGATCTTTTTTGTCATTTTTGAATGTATTTTCTATAATTTTTTTTTTTTTGGGGTTTTTTTCTGTAATTTTTGAATTGTGCATGAGTATATTTATAGTTTTCAGATTTTTCAGGATGTTGTTTATCAGTTTAATATTTTTAGGGGACGTCATATATAATTTATGTATTTTGAATTGAGAGCGGTGAAAATCCTTTTGCGTTAAATTTTAACCTTAATGACATGTTATACCAAACACATGACTGTTTCCTCCACTAACTGTTCTATTGTAATAATTATCACATTAGAGTTTTAACCCCGATCGTTTTAACCTCGTACCAAACAAGCTCTTATATATTTCTCACAACAAACATTTTTACGTTCTATCGTGTTTAACGTTCCTATTTAAATAAAAATATATATCATGCTCAATATGCTTTTTTTAGTGATCCAATATTTTTCTATAAGGCACTTTTATGGATAGAAACCTGGACTCACACAGCGGTATTATTTTCTTTTTGGACTCTCTGATATTATGTCAAAGTCTCTAACTATTACACTAAAAATCTAAAGTTGTGGCGAGGAAAGAAAGATATAATTAATAATAAGTTTGCTAATGGTGGCGAAGGGAAATAAGGAAAGGAGAAGAAACAAGGCAAAGGAAATGAAAGGAAGAAGATAGGAAATATAATAACTATGTTTAATTGGGAGTTTTATAAAGGGAATACGGGGGGAGTCATCTCTTAGCCCTTGGATTTGAATCACGACGGTCTAAAATATTTTACTTCCTCTACATCCTAATTTCGGAGGGAACCAAATTAATTAAATAGAATGGAGGTCAATGAACGTAAACTTTGTTACTTCTATTTCCCTCTATTCTTCTAAAATATACTCCCAAATAAGGTTAATCAACCTACACAAACAAAGCATAACAGTTGTGTTGCAGAATCTATACAGCCAAAACTTGAAGGAGAAAGTGGAGCTTATAAAGGGAATCACTCTCGGCAACAAGAGCGAGTTTCAACTTACTCCTCTTTCCCAGGTATTATATTAAACATCAATTACAGTATCTGTTTCTTATTTGAGCTTTGCTACAGGGACCCAAAATATGGGACCAATAAAGGGGACAAGTGAAGTGTCCCCCTCCTATTGGATAATGAGTTGGCCATCATTGGATAATGAGTTGGCTATCATTAATAATGACCAACTCATTATCCAATAGGAGAGGGACACCTCACTTGTCATCCCTATTGGTCCCATATTTTGGGTCCTTAAAGAGTTTTTCTTCTTATTTTTATTGAGAATCAATTACTTAATTATTTTAATTAATCAGGTTGTTTTCACCAATCTCTTGATCAGTCTAAAACTTTCTTCTTCTTTTTTGAAACTTTTTAAGGATGTTTTGATCATATGGGGAGATCATGATCGCATTTTCCCATTGGATAAGGCGTATAAGCTTAAGGAGTAAGTTTTTTGCCCACTTATTTGATTATTTCACATTCATAAATAGGCCTTGACACATTTTTGAAAATTTCATGGCCGATCGTCGACATGTCACTTATACATCCGAATTAATTATAGGGGGTTTTTTTTTAATTTTTTTTGTATATATTAAAACATGAATAAAGAACTTTTATACGTCTTATTAATTTTGAATTAATGTTTTCTTTTTTTAATGATCACAGGAAGCTCGGGGAGAAAGCTAGACTAGAGATAGTGAAGAAAACGGGTCATATGCCAAACACTGAGAACCCGACCCGATTCAACGAGCTCCTCTTAAACTTCTTCCTGAATGACTCTAAATCTTCAATTTAACTTTTTTTTTCTCGGACTTTGTTGCAAAAGGAAGCAATTTTTTTTTCTTTTATTTATCTTTTTTTCTTCCTATTAAGCGTGACAAAGCTCATATATTATTATTATTGCACAAGAAACCTCAAGTTGATGCATTATTTTTATAAGCGCTCCATGTACTGAACAAGTTTTATCTAGAAGACGGGTGACAAAATTTTAAGTTGTTGAATTATGCCATGCTCTTTGAATTTTCTACCTCTCTCTCTTTTTGACATCTTATTGGTGATCAATAGTTAATGGCGGTGGCCGCTTGCTATTATTATTTTGCTATAATTAACATGCTATTCTCTCATAACTCTAATCCTAACGTCACACCTTCTCAATGATTACAATAATATAATACAGTTAAGCTCCGCCAATTTTGAAGATCTACGGCTGAGATTCACCGCAAAATGGGAACTTTGATCACCAATATAGATCTCACATATTACTTTCAAGAAACAGAAGCATCAAGTACGTCGTTCTTCTTGAATCCCTATCAAAATAGACAAGTCGTCGAGGATAAATGGGAATTAAACTAAAAAATAAAAAAATAAAGCAACATTATTTTAATCACAGCCTTCTATTGGTTTAAGGGGGTGTTTGTTTCAAAAAAAAATTTGGTATTTGGGTTGGATTTCAAATTCTAGGATCAAAAAGTGGGGTTTTTTTTGGGTTTTAGAATTCCATAAAACTTGTTTGTTTCAAAGCAAATTTTAGAATATCAAATCCCCAAATAATAAAAAAGTATTATATTTAAGGATTTGTGAAATCTTCTTTTTTGGGTGGGATGTTGGGTGGATTTCAAAAGTGTTAGACAAATTAAGAATTTCAAATTTCAAAAAGTTTGAAACAAACAAAAATATTATAAATTATAGTATTCCAAATCTCAAAATATTATTGAAACAAACAAAGTTTTAGGAATCCCAACGCATAACAAATTACATATGGATTTTAAATCTCATGGTAAAATCTATATCCTAAAATTATAGGATTTGAAACAAACACCCCCTAAGTCGATAGCTACAACTTATTTAGAGCGAATAGTAGAAATGACTGTGATATGCATAGTAGATTGTCAAGTGCTAGTTTTGAAGCGAATTGTCATCATACGCTAAATAGTAGACATTTGTAATTAAAACGAGTGATCTCCCATGCGAATCCTAATAAATAAGGGATAGTCACATATTAGTTCCTTATATTATATTATCCATAATTATAAATTAGTTCCTCAAATCTTTGTATTTGCTTATTGGTCCCTCGATCTATATGGCTCCTGTAATTTTGCCCCTCTAGTTTAGTAATGTAAGTTTTAACGAGAATATTTTGTCATCCTTAACGGAATACTAGGGTTTACCTTGATTTACCCGTTACGCCCTCATTTAAAATCCTTCAATACATTTCTTAATGGGTTTAAATTACAATATGCTTATCCTGAAACCTGAACCCAAAAGGTTCTCCCTTCCCAATGGTCAACTCCGGCTGAAACCCATTTCAGAGCTCTTTTCATTGTAATATTCCCTCTAAACACTATATAATTCTACTATTGGGTTACTTTGAGAGGAAAACATTTGCTGGATGAGATATTTAGGTAATTGCAGATGTTGGGTTAAATGTTAACCCAACCATGGCTAGAGAAAATACAAAAAAGCTACGAGAGGGACAAAGCTGCACATAAAGCTATAAATTTGAGGGACTAATGAGCAAATATTAAGATTTTATAGACTAATTTACAATTATGAACGAATCAAGGAACTAATATGGAATTAACCCAATAAATAAACCTACATATTGTCACAAGCCGAGCTCGCGATAGTAGCCCATCTCGGCCATTGGCCCTCCAAAGATATAATTATTAAAATGAATTAGACGAAATGATTCTCTCTCTTTAATATATTAGTGAGCTCTCAAATTGTTCTGTAAAGTATCCATGTCAACGGTGAATGACGGCAATGCCCTCTCTTCATCTTCATGGATGTTTGTAAGAAGAAGGTCCTACATCCCTAACAAGAGAAATTATTTTTTTCTATCTACTAATCTCTATGGATACAATTCGTATCTTGTTTTTTGTAAACATACTTTTGGTTTTAATGAACAGGGTTTAACCCTTGTTTTTTAGTCAAAAAAAAAAAAATTGTTCTGTAAAGTATCAATTTACGTACTAGTGAACTCTTAAGTTATGCTGCAAAGTATCAATTTAAATATTGGTGAACTCTCAAGTTCTATTGTAAAATATCAATTTAAATATATTACCCTTTAAACTATGTACATGGTTTCAATATAATCATTTTGTGAGCCTATAGTAAAAATTTTAACAGATTAATAATGTAGTAATATTTTTTATGCTTCTTTATGATTTTTTATCAGTTTATCTCCTTTTCCCCCAAATTAAAATACATTTTTAACCGCATTCTCGCAAAATCATTTGCCTTTTAACTGTATTCATAAATTAAAAAATTATTTTCAGATTGCAAAAAATACAAGAAATACAAAAAAAAAAGCACTATCATGTTATAATTAAATATTTGGCTGTAAGTTTGCAAAATAGTTATAAAATTAGTTTGTTAAATATACACGTAGTTTGAAAGGGAAATTAGGCAATTTGATACGGTTTCCTGAAAGGGAAATTAGGCAATTTGATACGGTTTCCTCTCCAAAATTCATGAAATGGATATCATTGAATACGGGTCACCAAACAACCCCTAAATTTAGTAAATTGTAGAAATCAACTCTCATTGGATGTGTGCGAGGTCTAAATAAAAAAGGAAAAATTTCTTCTAGCCCCAATTTCCTTACAAGTATCCCTCTCACTCCATGACTTTTTCAACGCTCCCAAAATCCCCAAAAGCAAAATTATAATTTCCTGAGCCCCCAAAACACAAAACTCAAGAGTTTAAAACATGTGAAGACCATAATATCATCTCTCTCTCTCTCTCTCTCTCTCTCTCTCTCGTCGGTCTCATCTTCTCTGCTCGTCTCTCTTCATGATGTTAATGTGATGAATTTGAAAAATGGTTGGGGGGGGGGGGGGGGGGGATTCCTAGTTTCTCTCTAAAAAAATTTCGCGAAAAGGCATCGGCATCGGCTGTGACTTTTTCTCGGCGTTCATTCATGAGGCGAAGAAAACTGCGATATTGAAGACAGTCGATGGCTAGTTGTGTCGCCAAACCCCTTAAGTTTACATATTGTTGTAAATTTTTTTGGAAATCGATGACTTGAGATTAAAGTAGAGTATGCAAATATATATTGTTGTTATTTCACTGTAATAAGTTTGTTGTTAAGATATTGAGTTGATGGTGAAGGAATGCTACGTGTTGGTTTTGAAGGTTACGAGTTGGTTGTGGAGTTTTACGAGTTGGTTGTGAAGGTTACGAGTTGGTTATGAATGTTAGGAGTTGGTTGTGAAGGTTACGAGTTGTTTGTGAATGTTGCGAGTTGGTTGTGAAGGTTACGCGTTGGCTGTCAAGGTTACGAGTTGGTTGTGAAGGTTATGAGTTGGTTGTAAAGGTTACACGTTGGTTGTGAAGGTTACAAGTTAGTTGTGAAGGTTACGCGTTGGTTGTGAATGTTACGAGCTTGTTGTGAAGGTTACGAGGTGGTTATTAAGGTTACACGTTGATTGTGAAGGTTATGAGTTTGTTGTGAAGGTTACGAGTTGGTTATGAACCTCGACAATGAGTTGATTGTGATTGCTGTTAACTAACCTTCACAACCAATTCGTAACCGTCACAACCAACTCGTAACCTTCATAACCAACTCGTAACCTTCACAACAAACTCATAACATTTACCACCAACGCGTATCCTTTATAACCACCTCGTAACCTTCACAACCGCCTCATAACCTTCACAACCAACTCGTAATCTTGACAACCAACTCGTAACCTTCACAGCCAACGCGTAACCTTCACAACTGTAGGCTGTCTAAAAATCACAATAGATAGCTTATTCAAACAAGCTCCGACAACGGAGGTCACAATCAGACGACTTCCCAATCACTGCATCCGCAACTCCACAATTGCCACAAACGCGACCTCACTTCTGAGATGATTGATCTTGGTGGCTGTGACAACAGCATGGCTAATATTGTAGCAACTATTAGAGATGCTGATGATCAGTGGGACGATTTCAGAAATAAAAAGTTGGACTCAGTTGGTGAGTTGCTTGATAGAGAGCTATGGGCGAATATTCATCTTTAAGACACTATGGATGTTGATTCCCGTCTAGCTCCTACAACGAAAGCTACAATCAAATAGTTATCGGGTCGGTGAACGAATGTTGCGAATGGAGGGCTTTTCACATAGATCGAGAAGAGTTACAATTCAACGACACTTCCGACGACGGATGAAAACTCTATTCAGCAGTCTTCACAATCTACAGTGAAAGTTACAATCTGACGACTTTCACACTCCACAACAGCTAAAAGCCAGGATTACTGAACAACGGTCCTTGCAACGCTCTACAGAAGAAGTTACAAGTCAAATGGCTCCTTCTGAAACGCGGATGTCATCCCCGCGTCACCAAGTTGGAAATGAAGGCGACCCTCGCGTCGTCAATGCACAAGCCAAACGCGAGCGACCCTCGCGTTCAATGGTGTTCAACCAACAGCGACCCTCGCGTTCAATGGTGTTCAACCAACAGCGACCCTCGCATTCAAAGGTGTTCAACCAACAGCGACCCTCGCGTCATCAAGGCACAAACCAAACGCGAGCGACCCTCGCGTTCAATGGTGTTCAACCAACAGCGACCCTCGCGTCGACAATGCACAAGCCAAACGCGAGCGACCCTCGCGTTCAATGGTGTTCAGCTAACACCCAACTTCGCGTCTCAATTCAAAGAACACGAAGTTGAGTTCTAAACGCCAGAATGGGCGTTTGACTTATTCAAACATAAGTCGAACGGTTCCAAAACCGTTTATCCCACGTTCTGAGGGATTTTCGCCCACGTAGGAGCGGATATAGGGGTCAGTTACAACCTCTTATCCCCCTATAAAAGCTCAACGAACCCAACAGAGCAACGGGATTGGATTTTTGGCATCTGAACCACACAGGTTGGATTCAAAAGATCTAAACCATACAGGTTGGAGATTTTCAGTTCTCAAACAAACTCGACAGAGTTAAAGGATCGGATTTTTGATAATCAGATCAAGGGTTGGATTCTTCATCATCAAAACCACTCAGGTTTGGAGATTCGGCAACAACAGCAACGAAATCCTTGGAGATAGGATTTTTGAACCAACCTCAGAAAATCAAATCTGAGAGAATCCTTCAACAACAGAAAAACAGCTTGATTATTAACCGAATTTTCGGTTCCAACAACTCTATTCACAGAGTTCAAACTCGTTCAGAGTTCTTAAACTCATTCAGAGTTATTCATAAAACTTTCCACGAAAGTTCATCGTTCCCACGAGATAAAGACGGTCGGATCGTCAACGGAGAGCAAGTTCGACGCAATCAATCGAAGGAAGCACTCCATCGCTGCCAAGAAGAACCCAGTTTTAAACAAAGGGGAAAATCAAATTCGTTTTCCTCTCTTTTGTAATCAAGTTGTAACCGAGATCAAAGGAATCAAAGTCACATTTTCTTTATTCTCTTCTTTACAATTTTCTCTACATACAAAAGATGGCGACTCCGCTGGGGACTAGCTTTTCCGACGATGAAGTGGTGGCTCAGTCCGACGTCCACCTCTTGGGAACGACTGTAGAAACTCTCGTCGTAGAGTTTGATCAGGCGAAATACGAGGAAGCCCTATCCTCTGGATCGCTTAGCCCCAAGGCTAAGCATGGTGTCCGCAAGATCTCCAAGGAGATCAATTCTGTTGTTGAAGAGCCGAAGAAAGCCCTCTCCTTCGGCCAGGAACTCAAACTGGCTCTGATGGCGGAAGATCCCACCTCCGTATTAGCAAGACGTGCTTCAGGCCACAAACGGCCTCTGGAGGAGACGAGTCCTGTAAACGTCAATGACGTTGCTGCAAAGGCTTTGAAACAAGCCAAAAAGAACGCCGCTCGCCGATGGAGAAGATCCATCCGACGAGCACACCTACGAGAAAGCCGATTGTTGGCCCAACGCGAAGATCGCGTTTCTAAAGATCCAACCGAACTTGGCGTCCCCAAAGAAGAACGCTCACTGCGTGGCAATGAGCCCAACTATCAGCCTAGGCTGATACAGCTCAAACGCGATTGTTGGCCCAACGCGAAGATCGCGTTTCTAAAGATCCAACCGAACCTGGCGTCCCCAAAGAAGAACGTTCACTGCGTGGCAATGAGCCCAACTATCAGCCTAGGCTGATACAGCTCAAACGCGACCTTGAGTGGCGCGTTGTTCATTCAAAACGCAGCCCTCAGAATGGAGCTGCCAAAACCAAACGCGACCCTCA